CCGTGCCCATGCTCCATTCAGGGGCAGGCAGCTGGCACAGTGAGCTGCCCTAGGATGCCCACAGCCCACATGCTGGGGTTTAAGGCCAGATTTGCTCTCCATTCCAGCTTCCTGCTCATGGTAAGTCCTCAGATGTGGCAGGTGACTGGCTCCTGTCATCCGTACGGAAGGCCTGGATTGAGGTCCGCGCTCCTGGTTCCAGCCCTGTCCTGCCTTGGCTGTTACATGCATTTGGCAGAATGAACCAATACATGAATGATATTTCTCTCTAGCTCTCTTTAAGATAAATAAAATCAATTAATAATTTTTTAAAAAGTGAGTGCCCACTATACCTACCACACACATTATCAACAGAATTTAATCTTGTAGAGATTGAGAGAATTAAGAGAGAAGTAGTATGTAAAAAGCGAGTTCAGAGCCTGGCATAGATGCTCTATGCAGTATTAATTTGAAACAAACAAAACCTCCAAAGCTTTGCTCAATTACAAAACCAAAGAAGTTTCTACTTTTTTACATATAGGAAAAGACTATATTCCTCAAAGTGGTCTGCTTGTACTACAGAAAGCAAACCAGTGAACTCCCTAACATGTGTCACCTCCTTGGAGAGGTAACAAGGATGACGGCGGTGATGGTGATGACAATGATGAAATAGGCATTTATCAGGTGAGGATCTGGGTCAAGCCATATGACATATATAGATATAGATTTTTTAAATTGACTCTTCATTAATGGATCTACATGCTGATTCTCAGACACCGTTTAGCCAGTCAGAGAAACTGAGTCTTGTAGCAATTGTGGAGCCTACCTGAAGCCCCATGGTACATAGTGGAACTGTGCCAAGGCAGACCACTGGTGCAGCCTGGCACGTGTACTCCCTGATGAGTTTTCTGGTCCTTTCCCAGTCACACAGTGTCAAAGCTGTTTTCCAAAATCCCGGCAAATTATCTGAAGCTTTCTAGAATTTAGACTTTACTTTTTTTACTTTCTTTTTTCAGATTTATTTATTTTAATTGGAACACCAGATTTTTTTTTTTTTTTTACAGAGGGTAGAGACAGAGATCTCCCATGTACTGATTCACTCCCCAAATGGCCAGAACAGTCAGAGCTGAGCTGATCCAAAGCCAGGAGTTTGTTCTGGGTCCCCCACATGGGTGTAAGGACCCAGGCCTTGAGCTGTCCTATATTGCTTTCCCGATCCATAAGCAGAGAGCTGGATGGGAAGTGGAGTAGCCAGGAAAGAAAACGGCGCCCATAAGGGATGCTGGTGTTGCAAAGTGGAGGATTAGCCTGTTGAGCTACCACGCCAGCCCCAGAAAGTTTCCCCTCTTGTTTTTTTCCAATTCTTTTTTTTTTTCCTAAAACGTGAAAGCCTGGGAGGGAGAAGTCTCTGTTTGCCTCTCCAGTGCATGCAACAGCTGAGACTGGGCCAGGCCAAAGCCGGGAGTCCACAGTGCAGTGAGTCTCCCACACGGACAGGAAGGACACAGATGGCTTGAACCATTGCTGCTGCCTCCCAAGGCAAGAAGTCGGAATCAGAAGCAGATCCAGAACTTGAACCTAGACCCTCGGACACAGCTGTAGGTGTCCCAGGATTTAACCGAAGTGCCAAACGCCCAACCCACTTTTCTTGTTCTTCTTTTCAGAAACTGCTCAGTTTCAGAAAAGCAAAAGAATAACTTTCCAATCATTGTAATTGAGATTCTTGAAGGCCTTCGTCCTTGGTATAGCAAAAAAATCGGATCCAAATGTCTTCTATACATTAAAAAAAAAAAAAAACACTCAAAAACTAATCTATTTTCCTCCGGGCAAAAATATTTTAAATTGGATTATTTTTCCTTTTACATAACTGTGCTAGCTGTGATCATGCATTTTAAAATCTTGCCAGGGGAAATAAGGTCCTCATTTCTGTGCATATACTTAACAGGTTTCCTCATCTGCGTCTAGCCTTATCATGGTTCCAAAGGCAGATACTATACATCAGGACAGCTTCCTGACGCTGAAAGAAATCTGCAGATGCTGCAGCGATAGGAACTACCAAGTTACCTGAACTCACAGTTTGCCAGAAAAACCAGATTGGAAAATAATCAAGGGACAAAACTTCCAGGGGTGCAAAAAAAAAAAAATTCAGAGGTACCAGCTGCACATAATTGCAAGACCCAGGGCTCCATCCTGCCAGGTAAACCATCAGAGCTCCCTGGGCACTTGCAGTTCAGCGGGGCCGAAGGCCAGCAGGTGGAGGACAGCCAGTTACCCCAACCCAGGAAGGTGCTGCTTCAGCCAGCTCCCACCAACCTGCAAATGGTGCCCCCAGTGAATTCTGATTCAGAGTCTGCAGTGTGTTCCACAGGGATCTGCATATAAACTCAGGGTTAAGAACTACCTGGAGGGGTTTGCATAGCACTGTGCTGCCATGCTGATAACCTATATGAGCCATGGCTGCTCCACTTCCCATTTAGCTCCCTGCTGGTGCACCTGGAAGGGTTGTAGGTCCCTGCCACTCACATGGGAGATCCAAATGGAATTCCAGGTTCCTGGCCTTGGCTCACCCCCAGTCACTACAGCCACTTGGAGAGTGAACCAGTAGATGGAAGATCTCTCTGTGTCTCTCCCTTTATCTGTAACTTTCTTCGTTTGTTTAGTATTTATTTATTTATTTATAATAGCAAAGTTACACAGGCAGAAAGAGGGCAAAAAGGAAAGAACTTCCATGTGTTGGTTCACTCCCCAGATGGTCCTGACGGGGCTAAGCCAGAGCAGATCAAAGCCAGGAGCTTCCTCCAGGTCTCCCACGTGCATACAGAGGTCTACATATTTGGTCCATCCTCCTTGCTGTCCCAGGCCATTAGGGAGCAGGATTGGACATGAGCAGCCAGGACACCCATTGTTGGCTTTGTGGGAAACACCGTAACCCACTTTATCGTAACAGAGGCCCCCTTTTACTGTCTTTGAAATAAGTAAGTAAGTTAAATTTCATTTCATGTTTAAAAAAAAAAACTACCTGGATTGGAGGCATTGACTGACTGGCTGTGTGTTAAGGTAGGTCTTCCCAGAGCTGGACTCTGCTCCATGATGGGTAAAAGATGGGCAATTGTTGACTAAGTGGATGAGGGAATGTGTGAATTTACAAATGCTGGGGGTAGTTTTCAGATTGGATCAGCTCTGGGTGGGCAGGCTTGCCGCCCCTCTCACCTCCCACCTCTGAGCAGCCACCGCAGCGCGGGGCCCGAAGCCCAGGAGGCCACCCTGCAGCCACGGCTCCTCGCTCCACACAGACCGCAGGGCCAGCCAACTTGGCGCTCGCCATAGGAAACTCGGAACGCGCGCCCACGGAGGCACACAGAGGCGCACAGAGGCGCTGGGCGGAGACTCGGGGGCTCAGCCGCTCAGGGAAAGCAGGGGGAAGACCCAGCTGCCCACACACAGCCAGTCACACGTCTTCCTTCTACGGGTGTAAGCATTCCACCTGTTGCAAGAGAAGCAGAACATGGGTTCAGGATGGCACCCTGGAATGGCCGAGCCAGCGCCAGACCTGACCAGACCCTGGCCAGGCTCTCCAGCATGACTGTGCTTGGCAAGCAGATCCCTCCATCTCCAGAGCGTTCCAGCGGGGCAGGACGGGTGGGGGCCGTGGGGAGTGGGGAGAGGGAATGTTCCATGGCCCTAGGAATCTGTTTCAGCTAGCCAGCACCGTCTGTGTACCTGAATGCAATATTTTACCTCCTGGAGATTTCCTCCTCTGTGGACGGGAGTTTGTTTAAATAAACAAAGGTATGGTTTTATCCCCTGCCCCGTGGAAACGAAAGTGCCTGGATTCCTTAGATGCTTGCGTGGCCTAGACAGCACAGGGGTCCTCCTTCCCAGTGATTACCCACTCACATCAGGAAAATAAATGCGCCCTAAGTCCTGACCGCTGGCTGGCAGTTGGGGGCTGCTGAAGAAGCGCTCCCCCTTCCCCCCCTCCTCACACACCTTTCCTCCTTCTGTTGGCTTTGGCTGCAGAGTCCTGTTAATGTTGAGTTTTGTCTCATCTTTGCTTTTAGTTGTTAATTTTTAAAAAATGTATTTATTTGGAGGGCAGAGTTATGGAGAGACACAGAGAGATCTTTTATCCATTGGTTCATTCCCGAGATGACCATAATGGCTGAGACTGGGCCAGGTTGAAGTCAGAGCTGGGAACTGTCTCCCATATGCATGACAGGGGTCCAAACCTTGTTAGCAGGTGCATCTTGGCTAGCCATGCTGCAGTTTGCATGAGTGATCTTTTTGGAGATTCTGCGAGCTCTCCAATGTCCTTTAAGACATTCATTTTGCTATTAAAACATTCAGACTGGGCCTGGCTTGATGGCTCAATGCTAAATCCTTACCTTGCAAGTGTCAGGATCCCATAGAGGCACTAGTTCATGTCCCAGACACTCCACTTCCCATCCAGCTCCCTGCTTATGGGCTGGGGGTGGTATAGGGTAACCTGAAGCCTCAGTACCGTGCACCTGTGAGGGAGACCTGGAAGAAACTCCCGGCTCCTGCTCCCTGGTTTTGGATCAGCTCAGCTCCGGCTGTGGGGATCATTTATGGAGTAAACCAGCAGGTGGAAGATCTTTGTCTTTACTTCTCTATGTAAATCTGCCTTTTCAATGAAAATAAATCTTTTTTTTAAAAAAAAATTCAGGGCCTGGCGCGGTGGCCTAGCGGCTAAAGTCCTTGCCCTGAATGCGCCAGGATCCCATATGGGCACTGGTTCTAATCCTGGCAGCCCCGCTTCCCATCCAGCTCCCTGCTTGTGGCCTGGGAAAGCAGTGGAGGACAGCCCAAAGCCTTGGGACCCTGCACCCATGTGGGAGACCTGGAGGAAGTTCCTGGCTCCTGGCTTCTAATCGGCATAGCACTGGCTGTTGCGGTCACTTGGGGAGTGAATCAGCAGACGGAAGATCTTGTTCTCTGTCTCTCCTCCTCTCTGTATATCTGACTTTTATTAATAAAAATAAATACATCTTTAAAAATAATTAAATGGTGGCAGACATGTCCAGGGAATACTGCGAGGATTTGATCCCTTCATGAATCTGGTGATAGATGAATGTGTGGAGATGGCAAATAGTGGACAGCAGAACAATATTGGAATGGTGGTAATACGAGGAAATAGTATCATCATGTTAGAAGCCTTGGAACGAGTATAATGAGTGTTCAGCAGAGAAATCCATATCCCCTCTCCAGAAGGACCTGTTTTGCGGTGGTGTGATATGAAAGTTGGGACATGTACATTTTCATGGTTTTTTGGTTTGTTTTTTAAATAAACTTTTGTGATAGTCACAAAATTAACCCTAATGTATTTTTTTTTAAAAGTTTACTTTTCTTTCATTAAAAACAAGCATGCAATCAGCTCAATGTAGTCAGAGGGTAAAAGGACTACAGTGGAGCTGTTGGGGACTTGTGCCCCTCTTAAGCTTAGCTTTAGTGTTAAGTGTTAATAAGTAGTGAGAGAATGGAGTGGACACATACCTTTATTAACATGATACTGGAGAATCTGATTTATACTCAGGGAAATATGAGCCTGCTACCTTTGAGCTTGGGAACCGGGTGGATTGCCCACCAGCTGGGGGGGCAACTCCAGGCTTCTTGTTGGAAACTCGGCAACCAAGACCAAGCATGCAAGAAACCCCGTGTTCTGCCTTCCAAAATCAGCTACCTGACAGGCTCTCACCTGCTGCCCATCTCCTGGTCACTGCCTAGAGCAGGGGGCACTGCCGCCAAGTGGATGAGGAGCAAGGCTCTCGCGCCAGACAAGAGACAGAACCAGGAGGAGGGAGAGAGCATCCAGGCAGGGGGAGGAAGCCAGGACAGTGGACCCAGATATCCCAAGCCTTGGTCTTGAAGGATTGCTCCCAAGGCCAGGTGGTAAACCAGGCTTGAAAAGCAGATTTGCAGAGAGAAGGAGAGATAAAGATCTTCCTTCTGCTGGTTCACTACCCAAATGGCCAGAGCTGAGCCAATCTGAAACCAAGAGCCGAGAGTTTCTTCTGGGGCTCCCATGTAGGTGCAGGGTTCCAAGGACCTGGGCCACTCTCTACTGCTTCGCCAGGCCACAAGCAAGGAGCTGGGTGGGAAGTGGAGCAGTTGGAACATGAACTAGCATCCATACTTGTTAGTGGAGGATTAGCCTGCTGAGCCACTACACTGGCCCCTAGCAGGGCTCTTGGGAACATAAAGACCCTGGGATCAGCTTCTGAGTTGGGTGGCCCCTCAGTGCAATGGCAGTGTCCTTAAAAGGATAAGACAGGGTGGGGGAGGGGCAGAGGGGCCACGTGAGCCCCCAGGCGTGGACAGGACTCCTCCTTGAGGCTCTAAGAACTGCAGAACAACAGTCATCTTGTTTTCAGCCACCCAGGCGGTGATCAAGTGATAGGTCAGCCCTGGGCTCTAACTCCTCCTACCTGGAGTCCAACCCTCTGGGGACTCTACCCCCCTCTCTCTGGCTGACACCATGCCTGTGGGAGCCAGGGAGAGATGGTGCCCAGTGTCCTGACTCCCACCCACAGGGCAAGAGCCGCCTTCCCTGCAGGGGGCAGGCAGAAAATCTGCTTCCTAAATATGTCTGTGACAGAGGCCGACCTTCTCTCAACCCATATCCTAGCCACCCACAGTGTCACCAGCTGTCATTCTGGCTGATTCCTCCCTCCTGCTGGAACTGACAGCCCCAGCCTGTCACCCGGAGGATGCTGGGAAAGGCCTGTCCTCAGGACTGGGAAAGCTAAGACTAAAGCTCTTCCCACCAGAAAACACTGCAGTGGACTTGAAAGCCCAGCCAGTATCATGGGGAGGTCCAGAGGGAGCCCCTGGTTCTGACCTGGCCTAACATACTTGGTCCATCCTCCACTGCTTTTCCAGGCACATTAGCAGGGAGCTGAGTCAGAAATGCAGCAGTCGGGACTTGAACTGGCGCCTGTATGGGATGCTGACACTGCAGGTGACAGCTTTAGCTACTATGCCTCAGCACTGGCCCCATTAACTAACATTTACAGAATATCTCCTTTCTAGAAATAGCTCAAGGCCATGTGTCTGTCCATCATCAGAACAGGTTTGTTTGAGGTCAGGATTAGTATCATGTCCATCTTACAGATGAGAAAACTGTGGCTGTGGAAGTTAAACATTATGTTGGTGATTAAGGAAGTGGGAGGCCGAGAGCTGACCCTGGGATCTCAGTGGTTTGTTTTCAACACCAACCAGTGGAAACTGGAGCTGATGCTTCCAGGCCCACCCCGATCTTCCCCTTGGGTCCATTTGGGGCTGGACTTAACCTGAAAGTAGTTCTTGCCTGCTAACTTCAGCCCCAGACATAGCCCGCAGGCAAGTCCAGTCCAGACCTGCCAGGCCAGAGCAGAGGAGCAGGACCAGGGCCAACTGCATGTCCAGTTCTTGTTCACGGTGGCTGGTGGCTACTGCGGAGACCACCCAGGGTGCCTGCACCCTGGCCAGGAGGTGCAGGGTGGGTGGAGTATATCCAGTTTGTTCTTGCTAGAGAAGGCTCCTCAGCCTGACACTGCAGTTAGGTTCCACTGGAGATGGGTGTGTGCTGACAGGACACAACACACACTCAACCTTGAAGATGAGATCCAAAGCCAGAGGCCATTGCTCACGGATAATCATATCTTAAATATGCTGAGATCATATTATTTTGGAAAGAAGGAATTCAATGCAAATGTTCACACTCATTTTTGCATAAGGCTACTAGAAGGTTGCAGTACACACACGCGGCTCAGGCTGTGTTTCTATCACATGGTGCTGTTCTAGGCTTCATTGAAAAAAAAAACAACAACCTGGAATTCATCCTGATAGCTCCTGGGAAGTGTGTCTTAATCAGGGGAGTGGCATGATCAGATTTGTATATTCCAAAACTCTGAGTGGTAAAAGACTAGACAGAGGCAGGGAGAGCAGTACAGAAGTGTGGCCTCTGGGGTTCAGGTGCGATGGACAACTGTTACCCCCACAGCTCTCATGCCTGTGAAAAATGATAGGCACAACTATATGAAATGTCCACCTTTGTCAACCTAAACTGGCTCCTTATTGAAGGCGATACCAAGAACCAAAGTTGGGACAGTGGGACCACAGAATTAGTAACTCAGAGAGGGACATAAATACCCAGAATTGCAATGAATAAATGATGAGGGAATTAACATAACCCAGTCCTAGTGGCCTCAGGCAAGATTTACAAGAAGGTACCAAGTAGGGAAAAGTTTAAGCACAGTCTATTTGCATAGTATTTCCCTCCCAATAGTTATTGAAGAGGAAAGTAGGACGGTTACAGTGGAAGAAGCTTCCAGAAAGCATTGTCTTGGTCCCCAGCATTAGCAGCCAGACTGTCCTGGGGTAGGGAACAGAGAAAGACATGACTTGCCCCTTGCTCCTAAAGCTCTTCCAAGTGACACAGGGGCCAATCAGGGCAGGGGGCGTTCTGCGAGATGACTGATACGGCTCTTTAAGACTGAGGATCTTCCTGCTGGGAGGAGGCGACAGCAACATGGCAAGAAAATGCCATGGCAAATTCTGGGTTAGGCTCCAAGGAGAAGCGAGACAGACAACAATGTGATCCAAAGAAGTTCTATAGTCTTGCTATTATTTGAAAAGCAGACAGAGAAATCTTCCAACCATTTGCTCCCTCCCCAGGTGCCAGCAATAGCCAGGGCTTGGCCAGGCCAAACCCACATAGCTAGAAGTCAATCTGGCCTCCCATGTGACAGGGATCCAAGTACTTGAGCTGTCCCCTGCTGCCTCCCAGGGTGTGCATTAGCACGAAGCTAGAAGCAAAAGCAGAGTTGGGCTTCAACCCAAATATTCTGATGTCCAAATGGAGTCCGGAGCGCTGGGCCAAACAACATCTGCCCCAAGGTCTACAGTTCGGTCAACATTATCACATGTGCATATCATGGCTAGCTTGGTAAATGTTCTACAGCCATGTGAGACGTTGCCATGAGGAGAATCTAGATGATCAGTATAAGGAACTCTAATTTTTGCAATTTCCTTAGTCTAAAATTATCTAAAAATAATTAACTTAGTGTGTCAAACAAGAAACAAAATGAAGTTCTAAAACTAAATTAATATCAGATGATCATAACACATTTACAGTTGTGGACTTCTTCTAAAGACTCTATTTATTTGAAAGGCAGAGTTACAAAGAGGAGAATGAATCTTCCATCTACCGGTTCATTCCCCAAATGGCTTCAATGGCCAGGGCTGGGGCAGCTTGAAACTAGCTTCAATCACTTTTCTACATAAACATAGGGGGCCAAGTTCTTTCCCATCTGGATCGGAAGTGGAGCAGCATCCCACCTGGGATTCTAGCAGGCATCAGATTTATTCACACTACAGTGCCAGCCCCTGATGGCAACTTTGTTATCAACATCAGTATCCATAGGCATTCAACTCATGAAAACTATTCCAGGGTGGACATTTTGGCAAAGTGGAGTAAGGACCCACTTGGGACATCATATCCATGTCAGAATCCCAGTTACTCCCTGCTAATGCACTGGAACACAGCAGAGGCAGAAGATGGGTAAGTACTTGTGTTCCCACCACCCACATGGGACACCCAGATGGAGTTCCTGGCACCCGGCTTCAGCTTGGCCCAGCCTCAACTATTGCAGGCATTTGTGAAGTGAACCAATGGCTAGCTCTCTTCCTCCCTCTCTTTCAAATAAATTATTCTTTTAAAGATAATGTGATCCTATTCAAATCCAATGATTTATAAGATCCCTAAGCAAAAGTCTGATGGCAGCTGGAAGTGGGAAGAACATAGCCAGTGGCACAATACCACTGACCATACCATTGCTAGGGACTGGGTCTGGGAATGAAAATACACTCGATCCACTGCTTCTGGAGCCCAGCCACTGACTGGGAAGGACCCTAGGGACTCCATGTTGTCGTGGCAAGCCTGCAAAGCCACTCCCTGGCAGCTGTGTTATACCTGGCGGGAGTGTTGGGTTCCCAAGTATTAACAGGCGCACAGAAAACTCCAGGCACTTGTTGGACAGTTGGAGCCTAGTGAGGACACTGTCCCTTACTATGCTATTCAATAGAAGGCTAGACTCCAGGTCAGCAGTTGAGTTGGGCATCACCAAAGATGTCCTCATGGCCACAAGGGGATTCCAGAGCAAACTAAAAACTGTGGCATTCCCTTGGATGT